TTTATTTTTAGAAATAGGAATCTTTAGCCAAATCAACAGAAAGATTCAGTATTTATATTCCATTAAAATTTAACCCCATTTAAAAATTTTGTATTGGATACAAACCCCATTGGTCATCCATCATAAGAATAATCATTAGTTTCTAGGCATAGATTTCAATTTTATATTTAATTCTCTATGTAAAATTTATTTTACCATAGTTTCCAGACATTCTGCTTTTGAAACCTACATTCGAGATGCTCTAAGGAGCTCTTCCACAGGTCTTGGCGTTCCAGCACGTGAATGGCTTGTGCTGATGGGATGAAGGGTACGCGGCGGGGGATTGCGTCTCCTGGCGGACTGCACAGTATATGAGAGACATGATGTACTAAACTCCATGGTTCGATTTGGCCAACTTCGGGTTGAAAGGATGGTACTGGACCCAGGCCTCGTAAGTAGCTTGTCATCAAGATCTCTAGTGGCCCAATCAGAAAACCACAATGAAAAAAAGATCACTATGTACAGGAAGAAAAGACTCATGGGGTAAAAAGCTTTAGACTAAACTACATTCAGGGGAGGAAGAAGTAAAAATAAAAACCTTTCAATAATTAATCAACTTTCCAGAAGGTAATCTAGCTCAGGCATGAGAATCTGTTCTTAAAAATAGGGCACCATTTCAATCATAATTTGCTAGAATGGAGATTTGGGAAAGCCAAGTCCATCACCTGCCATCATGGTCACTTGTTCAGTCACAAGTGAAGGCAAGCCCGAAGGGACCTACTCCAAAGTGCTTTCCAAAAGCTTGCCACTGGGGCTGAGACTGGTACTGTATTTGAGGCATTCTTTTGTGCTGAAGGACTGTCACCAGAAAGACAACTGGAAGGCAAATACTGCTGTTTGGGAGCAGTTGTGGCACCCATGTGGCTCCCACTGCAGGGATTCAAGTGTTGAGCTAGTTGGAGCCTGCAGGGGTAGGAGTGTGGGTCTGGGTTCCTCAGAAAGCTAGTAGCAGGCCTTGTGCTGCCCAGGGCAGTGGGACCACAGTAGCCCCATTAGCATAAACAACTGTGAAACACAACCCTTTTCTTTTAGTCCTCTGATAAAGAAAATACCACACCTAAACAGTTCAGTAGCTTTAACGCAGTACGCCTCAGATTTGGGGTTTTTTTGTTTTTTAAAGTAGATGAAAGTCCAGAGCTCCTGGGGGAAAAAATAAAAATAAAGCAGATGAGAGGATGTTTGACTATTGTAAGACATCTAAGAGACAGTATTTGCAGAATGAAATGGAGGGGAAGTGAAAGAAAGAGCAGCTAAGCTCTGCCACTTGCTCCCATGCAGGTTCCTCAACCTTTCAGGCCACTTTGGTGCCTTTAGTGCAAAATATGCTTCAGTGTTTGGAGGACTCTGAAGGGAAGATGCCCATCAAGGAATAGGACTAAACCTTGAGAATTACAAGAGATATTTCTGGTCTTCCTACCTTCTTAACCATTCACATTTTTTTTTTTTTACATGCTCTAACTGCTTTCTAATTATAAAAGACTTAGGCATTAGCTGCCCTGTGTTCATCTTTATTTTGTTCTGTAAATTTCTCATTCATAATTCTGGATTCAATTATCATCTCTAGCCAGATAACTTTTAGATCAGTCTCCAGATCTGACCTCTTCCACATTTCCAGCAAGATGGCTCATCAATGTAAACTTAACATACCCCAAAAGAAACTCATCTTTCCCCCAAAACAAGCTTCCCTTGAGCTTGAAATCTCAGAGCTGACTTTGATTTCTCTATTTCTATATAATTTCATTTCTTTTACAGTAACTCCTAAAATAGTTCATTCTTTTCTTACCCTGTAAGAAAAGCTTAAGTACAGACCCTGAGCAGCTCATGCTGGAACTCCTGCATTAGACCCCTTAACCTTCAGTTCCTCCACTGCTATGAAATTGATATTTCAAATTCCTGACTTAAATACATGTGCTCCCCCAATTGAAACTCATACATTGCTTGTAGAAGTGTAAAATGGTACAACTACTTTAGGAAATTAAATGAGAGGTCTTCAAAAAGTTCATGGAAAATACATATTTAAAAACTATACATGGATTTCAAATTTTTTTTGCAGCAAAATGAACTTGTACTAACTTGTTATAACATGTCTGAACATGATTTAGTTTGAGGCACTAAGAGATCAGTTTGAAAAAAGCTATCAGAGAAACAGAATTCTGCTAAAATTGAAGCAAGAACAAATGTCAAATTTATGATGAAGCTTAGGTGGAAGAATGGTGAAATCAATGGTGCTTTTTGAAAAGCTGATGGGGACGATGCCCCAAAGAAGTCAAGCAGCTTACAAATGAATAACTCATTATAAGAAGGGTTGAGATAATGTTGAAAATGAAGCCTGCAGCAACAGACCATCCACATGAATTTTCGAGGAAAAAATCTTGTTCTTGCCCTAATTGAAGAGGACAGATAATCAACAGCAGAAATAATAGCCAACACCATAAACATCTCAGTTGGTTCAGCTTACACAATTCTGACTATAAAATTAAAGTTGAGCAAATGTTTCACTCAATGGGTGCCAAGACCATTGCACCCAGATCAACTGCAGACAGGGGCAGAGCTTGCAATGGAAATGTTAAACAAGTGAGATCAAGATCCTGAAGCATTTCATCATAGAATTTTAACAGAAGATGAAACATTATACCGGCTTTACCAGTATAATCCTGAAGACAAAGCACAATCAAAGCAATGGCTACCAAGAAGTGAAGGTGGTCTAGTCAAAGCAAAAGTGGATCAGTCAAGAACAAAGGTCATGGTAACAGTTTTGGGGGATGCTCAAGGCATTTTGCTTGTTGACTTTTTGGAGAGAATGATAACATATGCTTGTTATGAGAGTGTTCTGAGAAAGTTAGCCAAAGCTTTAGCACAAAAAAAGCTCAACCAGAGAGCCCTTCTCCACCTCAACAATCGCCCTGTTCATTCTTCTCATCAAACAAGGACAATTTTGCGAGAGTTTCAATGGAAAATCATTAGGCATCCACCTCATAGTCCTGATTTGGCTCCTTCAGACTTCTTTTTGTTTTCTAGTCTTAAAAAATATTTAAAGGGCACCCATTTTTTCCTCTGTTAAGTAAAAAACACTGCATTGGCATGGTTAAATTCTCAGGACCCTCATTTCTGTAGGGATGGACTAAATGGCTGGTATCATCATTTACAAAAGTGTCTTGAACTTGATGGAGCTTATGTTGAGAAATAGTTTACATTTTTTTATTTTTATCTTTTTGTTTTGTTTTTGAGACGGGGGTCTCGCTAAATTACCCAAGCTGGTGTCAAACTCCTGGGCTCAAGGGATCCTCCCATCTCAACCTCCCAAGTAGCTGGGATTATAGGCTCGAACCATGGCACCTGGTTTATTTTTATCTTTTAAATCCATTTTTTCCACAGACTTTTTGAAGTTCCTTCATACATGCACACTGATGAACTGATTTTACTTTCCCCTTATTTCTCAGTGATCTACTTACACTCTATAGTCTATTAAAATTTTATACTTCTTACAGGAGCTTGTCCATTAGGGAGAGATTTCTTGGCTGGAGAGGCATCCCATGAACCAAGAGACCATTCACATTTGGCTGATGACTACTTGCTTGACAGAGACTCATCTACATGTCAAAAGAAGATGTTACTCATTACTGGTTGGTGAAGATACCTGTTTGGTTTCCCAGCTTTGCTAAAAGTTAATATTTCCAATTTTGTCATGTATACATTTTTTCCCTGTATCTTAATTTTTATAACATCTTGGCCAGTAGCCCTGGCAGGGACCCCCAGACCACTGTCAAGACGACAGAGTGCTTTCCTCCATTTGTAAATGACAGCAGGTGGGGGAAGCTTGATCAACCTGGATGAAAGTAATTAACAACCACTCTCATAGGGGAGAGAGGACCTTTATTATTACTATTTACATTACAATAGAAAAGAAAACTCACAAAATATGGAACAATAATAGAAAAAATAAGAGTAAACTCTAACAGTCTCTTTTTTCATCACACAATCCTGCAATCTGCACAAACTAATCCTTTCTCTTTCACTACCCATAGAGTAGTCAGCTCTCAGTGACAACCTACATCCTGAAGACTATTGTCTAGGAGTTAATCTTCCCTGTTCTAATGTTAGCAGTATTTAATCTTACTTGGATTGGTATTGCCACCTGAGAGACCTGCTTATTTTCTCTCTCAGGTCATCAGCCTTTCTGACCATCTCCTCCTCTGCCACAGAATGTATTTTCCTTCCTCTTTCTTTCAAGAATGTTTGAATTAACTCCTCCTTCCTTTGGTCACTAACAACCAGAACCATCTAGTTAACTGTTCAGGGCTTAGGCTACCTTAACCACAGCTAGAGCAATTCAACATGCAGAAGCGTTTTATTGCCACCAAAGGAACAGAAGTTTACCTGGTTCATCCCCTGATGTGGTAAGTAATGAACCTTGCTGATTTTATTTTTAAATATCCCTTTTGTAAATCCAGCTGCACAATATTTGACCATATGCCAACAAAGCTTATGACTAGATCTGGTAGCAAAGCCCAGGATTGATGAACATGGCCCAAGGATTACAATCCTTTTTCTCGTTCTTTTGTCCCCCTCCTTTTTTTTTTTTTTTTTTTGCCACAAGTAACACTGGGAAACTATCATGTAGGAACTGGGACTATGTAAATCATTACACAGGGATGAGACCAAGCTCGCCAGCCTCCTGCAAGAAATGCTATCTTTGTGCTTGTTCAGACTCACTTGAGACAGGTTTTCTCTTTGCTTTGGTTTTATTTTCCTACCTGATTTTTGAGTACTAAACATCCAAAAGGCAAAAAAAAAAAAAAGTCAACAGATTCAAAAAAAAAGGCTGAGTGTGGTGGCTCATGCCTGCAATCCGGCACTTTGGGAAACCAAGGTGTGAAGATCGCTTGAGGCCAGGAGTTTGAGACCAGTCTGGGCAACAGAGTGAGACCCTATCTACTAAAAATAGAAAAATTAGCTGGGCAGCGTGATTCGAGCCTGTAGTCCCAGCTACTCGGGAGGCTGAGGAAGGAGGATTGCTTAAGCCCAGGAGTTTGAGGTTGCTGTGAGATATAATGATGCTGCTGTACTCTAGCCCAGGTAACAGAGCAAGATCCTGTTTAAAAAACAAAAACAACAAAAAACCAGGGTAGGCCAAATTAAGAGAAAAAAATAAGAAGTTAAAAAGAAGGAGTTCAAAGGATAATGTTAAGGCCACAGAAAATCTGAGATTAGTCCCAATTTTCATCATAAAGGTACCCTCCATTCCTCCCAAAACAGACTTAGACTGACCACATAGTTGATTCTAGATTACACAATTTATGGATGCCTCTTCAAAAGAGTTGATTGAGAATTATTTGTCAACCCTAATTTGCTATTAATTTTTTTTTTTTTTTTTTGAGACAGAGTCTCACTGTGTTGCCCAGGCTAGAGTGCTGTGGCGTCATCCTTGCTCACAGCAACCTCAAATTCCTGGGCTCAAGCGATCCTCCTGCCTCAGCCTCCCAAGTAGCTGGGACTATAGGCATGCACCACCATGCCTGGCTAATTTTTTCTATATATTTTTAGTTGTCCAATTAATTTCTTTCTATTTTTAGTAGAGACGGGGTCTCGCTCTTGCTCAGGCTGGTCTCGAACTCCTGAGCTCAAACAATCTGCCCGCCTCGGCCTCCCAGAGAGCTAGGATTACAGGCGTGAGCCACTGTGCCCAGCCTGCTATTAATTTTTTAAACTTAAATGAATCAATGCAAAGAGTCGCTGGATTACAATAAACACATAACTACTGAAAAATATTACATCAAACATAATACAATTAAGGCAAACAACTCTGAGCAAATTACCTCTGGCAAGAACAGCCCTAGGGCCTCCAATTGATCCCTTCTGGGGCTTACCGGATTTGAGGTGATGGACAGCACCTTAGACTGTGGCACTCTTGGCAACACCAAAGGGTGTGGTTCAGTCAGCACACAGGGACTCTCTGAATCTGGCCTGGTGATTACAACATTACTCTCATCATCTGGGCAAAGGAATAGAGTCTGTTATCCATGGATATCTTCTAATGCACAGCAACAGTACTGTGAAAAAAAATCTCCCTTAAGAATTCATAATCTCAAGGCTTCGCTCATATTTACAGCCCAATTTCATACCATCTGCATGGTTCAATACACCCCTCAAACCAAGAGTAGTTGAAAGTAGTTTCCCAGATTGGTGATGCCTGAAGGTACCTGGCAGAAAGAAAAGGAAAGATTTCTAGAGGAAAGCTGTCTGACAGAACCTGTGGAGTTAATGGAAATGTTTTACATCTGTGCTGTCAAATGTGGTAGCTGCTAGCCACATGTAGCTCTAGAGCACACTTAAAATGTGGCTAGTTACTGAGGAACTGAATTTTTAATTTTACTTAATTTTAATTTTAACATAAATGGCTATCCATGCTAGTGAGTATTCTGTTGGATGTTGTATCTCCAGGGGAACCATCAGATCATTAATCCAGAACTCAATTCCCACAGGTAAAGTTATGAGATTAGAAGCCACTATTAACAATCACACAATCCACGAATAAACAAGGCACCTTGAAAAAGTGCAAGCAGAAACGAAATAATCAGATCAGCAGATACTTCAGAAATTGGAATTAACAGATGCAGAATGTGAAACAAAAGAAGCGACTGAAAATATAAGAGCAAGACATAAAAAATGACCAAGCAGATTTGAAAAAGAACAAAATAAAACTACAAAAGAGAACTAAAATTACCTAAAATTAAAAACTCAACAGTAGGTTAAAAGCTGAAATTAGAGGAAAAAATCTGAAGAAATTATCCTGAATTCAGAGAAACAAGAAGATGGAAAATATGAACTGAACATTTTTAAAAAGATAAATTTTACTGTATGTAAATTGTACCTTAATAAATTTATACCTTACATACAGAAATTAAGAAAATGGAGAAGATAAAACCACAAGAAAACACCCTTTGACACAATGACAAAAAAATTAAATAGTGAAGAACAGTGAGTATTGAAACTATAAGCACAGGGACTTGTGTACTGTTAGTGGGCATATAAACTAGTACAATCACGTTGAACAATTTGGTAAAATTGGTTGGAGACCAGCCCGGGCAACATAGCAAGACCATGTCTCATAAAAAAAATTAGCCAGGCATGGTGGCATGTGCCTTTAGTCCCAGCTACTAGGGAGTCTGAGGTGGGAGGATTGCTTGAGCTCAGGAGTTTGAGGTTATAGTAAGCTGTGACTGTGCCACTGCACTCTAGCCTGGGTGACAGAGTGAGACCCTGTCCTAAAACAAAAAAAGATTATAAAAACAACAAGTGATTAATAAATGAGTACATTTACTCAGAGTTTTATATACTTTGGGGCTACAGTTCACAACCTTAAAATGTCACAAGTTACCATGTAGCCCGATTGCATGTATTGCACACTAGCATGCAGTTTGGCTTTCTTCCTCACACAGAGGTAGAAAAAGTTGCTCTAGTAGTAGAGATAGGTTTGTACCAGTACCTGTCAGTTTGCTCCAGCAACAAACAACTAACTAACTGGTCCATGCCAAAGCTAAAAATGCAAAAGTTCTCTTTCCGTACTTCCAAGTATTATAGTTTAACTAAAAAGTAATGATAATAGCTAACATTTATTGAGCTCTTACATAGTCCAGGAACTGCACTATCTATATACTTTCATGTAACATGTTTATTTCTTAACTCTATGGAATAGATGTTAGTGTTTTTATCATTTTATAAAGAAACTGAGGCACAGAGAGGTGGTGTCAGAGCTAGTGGTCAAACCCAGGTTGTCTGGCTTTTAACCATTATGATACACTACTCAAAGGGATAGCATTTTAGAGCAGGGATTAGCAAACTGGCCCATGGGCCCATCTGGCCTGCTACCTGTTTTTTACTTGTTGTGGTAAAATACACATAAGACTTAACCATTTTACCACTTTAAAGTACAGTCATATGTCACTTAACGAGAGGGATGCTTCCTGAGAAATGCACTGTTAGGTGATTTCATCATTGTGCAAACATCATTAAGTCTACTTACACAAGCGTAAATGGTATATAGCTTACTATACTCCTAGGCTATATGGTTTAGCTTATTGCTCCTAAGCTACAAACCTGTACAGCATGTTACTGTACTGAATACTGCAGGCAACTGTAACACAATGGTAAATGTGTATCTAAACATAGAAAGGTACAGTAAAAATATGGTATAGGCTGGGTGCAGTGGTGGTTCATGACTGTAATCCCAGTACTTTGAGAGGCTGAGGAAGGAGGATCACTTGAGGCAGGAGTTTGAGGCTGAGACAGGAGGATTGCTTGAGTCTGGGAGCTGGAGGTTACAGTGAGCCGTGATCGCATCACTGCACTCCAGCCTGGGCATCAGAGCAAGACCTGGTCTCACTAAAAGAAAAACCAAAAAAAGATATAAAAGATAAAAATAGTGCACCTGTATAGGGCACTTACCATGAATGGAGCTTCAGGACTGGATGTTGTTCTGGGTGAGTCACTGAGTAGTGAGTGAATGTGAAGGCCTAGGACGTTACTGTACACTACTGTAGACGTTAAGCACTGTATACTTATACTATACTAAAGTATAAAAAAAAAATTTTTCATCAACAAATTAGCTTACTATTACTTTTTTACTTTCTAACCTTTGTAATTTTTGTCTTTTTTACTTTTGTAATAACCCTTAGCTTAAAACACTCCTTATACAACTGTACAAAAATATTTTTTATATCCTTATTTTATAAGCATTTTCCTATTTTTTAATTTTTTTTAACTTTAAAACTTTTTTGTTAAAAACTAAGATACAAACACACACATTAGCCTAGGCCTACAGGGAGTTAATGTCACTGTCTTCCAACTCCACATTCTGTCCCACTGGAAGGTCTTCATGGGCAATAACACACATGGAGCTGTCATCTCCTGTAATAGCAATGCCTCCTTCTGGAATACTTCCTAAAGGACCTGCCTGAGCCTGTTTTACAGTTACCTTTTCTTTTTTAATAAGTAGAAGAAGTATGCTCTACAATAATAATAAAAAGTATAGTATAGTAAATACATATTCCAGTAACATAGTCATTTATTATTATCAAGTATTATATACTCTACATAATTATATGTGCTGTACTTTTATATGACTGGCAGCGCAATAGGTTTGTTTACACCAGCATCACCATGAACAGTAATGAGTTGTGCTATAATTTTATGACAGCTATAACATCACTAGGTGATAGGAATTTTTGAGCTCCATTATAATCTCATGAGACCACCTCCATGTGTATGTGGTCCAACATTGACTGAAACGTCGTTATGCTGCACATGATTGTATACAATTCAGTGGCATTAATTACATTCATGATGTGTGCAGCCATTACCACTATCTAATTCCAGAACTTTTTCCTCACCCCCAAAGAAAAACCCCATACCTGTTACTACTGCCTGTTTTTATAAACAAAGTTGTAATAATAGTCTGGATATTCTTATTATTGTATAATATTCCACTATATGAAAATTTCACATGCTACTGTTGATGGACATTTGAGTAGTTTCCAGTTTGTGTTTTCCAGCATATGGTGATATTAAGAACATTCTTACATATGTCTTTTGGTAAACCTATATACTGAGTATATAGTAGTGTACATGGCAACGTGCATCCATTTACATATCGTTTACAGCTGCTTTCAGGCTAGAAGGGAGAGTTGAGTAGTTCAAATAGAGACTGGGTGGCTGTCAAAGGCTAAAATATTTACTAGCTGGCTCTGTATAGACAAGGTTTGCTGACTCCTGTTTTAGGATATTTCAGTCAATCCACTGAACCAGTTAAGAGATCTTCCAGCTCCATTTTGTGATCAGTGTCTTTTTTAGACTTTAAGACTGAAAATTATAGTTATAATACAATGAAATTACCTAAATTTATGAATGCACAGAAAAATAAAAGGATATTAATTCACAGCCCAACACTGGTAAATTGTGAAAGGTGAAATAAAGTTTTCTCTGATATCTCAGTGGTTAATACTGAACCCTGAAGGAGTTCCTTTATTTATTACCAGGGTTTATTATGATAGGAGTTTGGATATGACTCTGGACTTTAATTATCATGTGTCCTCTTTCTCCAAAAACTTAATCTCACGTAATATAAACCAATTCATTTTAAAGAGAGTGTTAGTCCTATTCTCTAATATAAGCTTTAAAAGAGAACTTAATACACATACAATAGAGTGGCTTAAAAATAAAACAAACCCACAAAGACAGTATCAAGTGCGTCAAACATGGAGCAACTGGAACTCCCTCACAGTACTGGAAATAGTGTAAGTAGGTACAACCTCTTTAGAAAACTTTTTGGCAGTCTCCACTGAAGTCAGGATAGCATATCCTATGACCTAGCAATTCCAATCTTATGTATCCAGTACATGTGTTCACCAAAGACATACCCAACAATGTTCATAACAGCATTATATTTTAGAAACTACCCAAATGTCCATCAACAGTAGGGTGTGATATATTCATAAAATGGAATACTATACAGCAACAAGAATAAACTATTGTTACAAGCAAAACATAACTGAATATAACATAATGTTGAGTAAAAGAAGCCAGGTGCACAAGGGTATATACTATATGAATATATTGTTACAAAGGTTTTTTTTAATGAACGTGACATTGTGAACATAATTACACAGTTTTAGAATAGGCAAAATCTGTGATGTCAGAAATCAGGATGGTGTTACTCTTAGAGGGGTAGAGATTAAGTAACTGGCTGAGAGAAAGCACTTGAAGGGCTTCTGGAGTGCTGGTGATGTTCTGTTTTTGATCTAGGGGCTAGTCATATAAATATATTCAGTTTTTTAAAATTCCTCAAGCTTACTTGATGTAAACTTACTCTGTAATTTTCTATTTGTGTATTATACTTCAATAAAAAGTTTTAAAAATGTATTTGCTGGACTTCTGCTCCCAACCAAGACGGAGTAACAAGGACTGTATTTACCCTCTTGCTTACAACCACCAGGA